CTGGGAGCGGAATACCCAGGTTGTGTGTCCTGCCGGCGGCCTCTGGCGCTGCGCCCGTCGCTCCCTTCCCCAGCTGCGACAGGACTTGGTTGGTCGGTCGGCGCTGATAAATATGAACGCTGGAATTAAACTCGGTATTTGTTAAGAGGTCACTTTGGCCATGCCTTTTTCCTAAAAAGCACCAGATGATGCAGTCCCTTATTACACTTAGAGCCCCGTTTATGCTGAGCGGCATGTAGATAAGTGGATTAAGGTGAGACTGGGCTGTTCTATCCGGATACACCACACAGCTCGGAGAAGCTTTTTTCCGTGCCTGAAAACTGAAAGCTTCGCTGACCCCTAAAAAAAAACTGTACTTGACACACAGGAAGCTTAGATTCCCTGTCTTCTCCCAGATCCGTATCAGGTTTCCCGTTTTCCACACCCTGAACTGTACATAGCGAGCAGATGGGACGGGGCATTTCCCATGCACGAGCTTTTTCACTTGTACAGGATGAGTTTATCGAGCAGTGCCCGAACGGCGCTTCCTACTCCGGAGCCCGCGATGTGCATCCGAAGAGCCTCTGCCGCACACGTGCCCCGGGAACACGGGTGGGTGCTCACACACCGCATCTCCTTCGCAGGTGTCATGGTGCACATTTGCACACCAACGTGCTGATAAATATGAACGCTGGAATTAAACTCGGTATTTGTTAAGAGGTCACTTTGGCCATGCCTTTTTCCTAAAAAGCACCAGATGATGCAGTCCCTTATTACACTTAGAGCCCCGTTTATGCTGAGCGGCATGTAGATAAGTGGATTAAGGTGAGACTGGGCTGTTCTATCCGGATACACCACACAGCTCGGAGAAGCTTTTTTCCGTGCCTGAAAACTGAAAGCTTCGCTGACCCCTAAAAAAAAACTGTACTTGACACACAGGAAGCTTAGATTCCCTGTCTTCTCCCAGATCCGTATCAGGTTTCCCGTTTTCCACACCCTGAACTGTACATAGCGAGCAGATGGGACGGGGCATTTCCCATGCACGAGCTTTTTCACTTGTACAGGATGAGTTTATCGAGCAGTGCCCGAACGGCGCTTCCTACTCCGGAGCCCGCGATGTGCATCCGAAGAGCCTCTGCCGCACACGTGCCCCGGGAACACGGGTGGGTGCTCACACACCGCATCTCCTTCGCAGGTGTCATGGTGCACATTTGCACACCAACGTGCAACGACTGGAAGGAGCGGTCACGCACCTCGCGGTCCGCATTGACCACCTCGGTAAAACGCGTCCGTCGCTTGCTACGGAGGGCAAGACTCGCTTCGTAGAGTGGAACCGCTTGTCCTCCCTCCTGAACTATCGCTTCGGTGAATTTGAGCTCCTGAATTTTTACTGCCTTTCCAGCCACTGCTGCTTTACACTGACGTGATCAATTTGTTGCTGCTGCTGATTCCTGCAAGCTCCCGATGCCTGCCCGGTAGCGAGGCAGCCCCAGCACAGACAAACGCAGATTTTTACATTTCTGTCCCCTGTGAGGCTTTGCTGGCTGCAGCCGGGCTGGATTCGTCCTTCCGCTGCAAACCACATGGAAGTATCACGAAGGGGATTTGTCTAAATGACTCTGGTTAAAATAAAATTCTACTCATCGCTAGGAAATGCTGAAGGGCTGTGTTGCTGGCGGTAGCAGGAGGGTCCTGCCGCGAGCCTGGCGCTACGCACGCGGCTGCCAGTCATTCCCAGTGGTTAACCTGCGTGTGAAGGAGTTGCGTGATAGGAAAAAATAAATAAATAAATAAAAATGCCAGCGAGCTGCTGCAGAAACAGCTCGTCAGCGATTTCGGGTGGATTACTTTCAAAAGATTCTGCGGGGTTTCTTCGGTGTCTTTTCTCCGGTGCCTTAGCTAGCGAGGCCGTATCTTGTCATCAGTGGTAAATCAGCGGCACAGCCCGACCTTTAACAGGGCTATGGGCTTTATTCAAAACAGGCGAGTTGAAAAGAAAGATCTGTGAAATACAACTTCACCGGGGAAGGGGGCATTTTTAATACGGACTCTGTTTCCTATAAACTGTAAATAGATCCTCCCCGAGTCCGCAGGAGCTGCTCTGCAAGGCAGCCGCGTTCCATCGGCGCCCGGGCTCCGAGGTGCCGAAGGTGCCAACTTCTGATTGACACGTTTAGGCGAAGCTCCCAACGTCGTTGCTTTTAACATTCACGTGTGCAAAGCGGCTCCGTGCGGGCAGGGCGAGCCCGGGGGGCAGCGCGGCCGCCGAGAGGGCCTGGGCACC